CCGGCCCGTCCTAGCCAAGCCAAGCCCAGCCAAGTCCGGCCCTGCCCCGTCGCGGCCAATGCGGGTGGTGCCGCGCAGGCACCGAGGTCCCGAAAAACCGTTTTTCTCCGCCTCACGGTCCGTCGTGTTTTCCTTAGAGCTGCGGCCACCCGAGGTGGGAACCGCACCCGCCTGCCCTGCTGTAACAGCATTAAAAACATTTCAAAGTGATTTACTTCGGAAATGACCGACCCACTCCGCAGCCCGCCGCTGAAATCATGAGGAGCTACAGTTCTAGAGTTCACCCTGTCACTGGGGCATTAGCCACAGCAGAGAGACCACTGCCACTCACAGCACTGCTCCAGGTTGTGCACAGCATGTTGTCCCTGTCCCCCGGGGCACGGCTGCCTGCTGGGAACAAAACTCCTGCTGCCACCCCAGTCCCTCAGCGGATCCCACAGCCACCCCTGGGTTGACAGCACTGCAATTTTGGCAACGGTGCCTCTGTTAGACCAAAAACTGCCCCTGCCCTCGCAGGCCACCCTCAGTGTGTGTTTTCTAGGTCCGTCCTGCCTGCAAGTTTCCCATTGCTTCCTACCTTGCCATCATCCTGGGCTTTCCTCCGGACAGCCATATCCCCTCCGAGCCTTCACACGCAGGGGCAGCTCCTGCCCTGGGCTCAGCTGACCCATCCTCTGCCTCGCTGGCAGACACAGAGGCAAAGGCAGGTGAGTTAGACATGGTGATCCCTATATCCAGGGCAGAGTGCCACCGTAGATACTACACGAGGAGCAATTCCCTGTCCCAGCTTCTCCTGGGTGTCCATGTCACCTCCAGCCTTGCCCTGCCTCATGGCCAGGATCCATGGTGACAGCAGAGGCCAACCCCATGCTCCGAAGTCTCGGAACAAAGTGTCCAAGAGGTTTGTGTTGGTGGCTGTAACCTTTGTTATCTTCAGGGAACTTTTGGGAGGAGGGGAAAGATCTTCAGCTTTGCAAGGCAGCACCAGAAGTAATTAGTCTTTGTAATTATTAACTCCCAAGGCCTGGCTAGCAGGGAAGGGGGGGTCCTCAGATTAGAAAGGTAGAACTTCCAGGATCCAACAAAGACAGGAAGAAAGAGAACTGATAATGCAGACAGGAAGCATTAAGAGAGGATGTGTTGGGGATGCTGAATCCCAGCCACTTGCAAAAATAACTGGTTGCTAGGTGAGAGTGGCATGTGCTCCCCCTCACTCCCAGCCCCAAAGGACAGGCAGAGCTATTGAGGAAGCCTGGACGGACCCTGAGATTTCTCCATAACCAGATAAATGGACTGGCCCAGCAGAGCAAAACTCGGCAGGTATCACTCCTAAGCTGAGCGTTATTGTGCAAGCTTTGAGGCAGGAAGAGCTGCTGCCTTCTCCATGCCCTTCACACAAGGCTGGCTGTCCTCCAGGCTGTACTGTGAAGTGTCCCAAAGTGACCAACGCAGCACCTGGTGAGACATAGACCCATCTCCCACCTCTGGTCTAAAGAGACAACAAGCCACCAGACAAGTGCAGCTGGGAGCTCTAACCTGGCACCGTCCTCTCACACCATGGAAGTACCTTGCTCTCTTCCACATTATTTCCCATTTACATTTCATGGAAGCTGAAAAAATCACTGACTTCTGGGTAATAAAGTGTCATAAAATCCACTTTGCCTCCTGCAAGTCTCCCAGCATGGCACATACCTGTTGTGAAGGCCCTGACATGGTACCTCCCCCAGGGCCATAGGCATTTTTAGTCACCCTTTTCCCCCGTATCTTGCTCACTTCCACTGCCTCTGCTCCCTCACTCGTACCCACTCACCCCCACTCCTCTCACATCCCTCCTGCAGATCCATCTTGCCAAGCTGATGACCTCCCTGACTCTTCACCTTTTGTTTCTCATCCTCTCACCTCTTCCAGGCAAAGCACCATCTTGCTAATACTTTCTATGTCTTCTTGGGGTCCAGTCAGGTCCCTTGCTCCCCACAGCAATTTTCCCAAAGGAAAGGACCCCCCCAATCCTTCCTCTGGGTTTCTCAGACACAGGGGTACACTTGTGGCACCCCATTGGGTCCTCTGACCCCGCTCTGCATCTCCAGCCTGAACAGCTCCTCCAGCACCCCAAGCAGAGCCCTCTCACTTTGGGAGCCCCTCCACACCATTCCTCAGTGATGTCTCAGCCCAGGCTGTGCAGCTACTTTCATATTCCCTGCCAGAGTGCCCACATCTTCCACTGAATGGGTCATAAATGAAGAGCAGGACTCAAAATCCAGAGTTTGGTTCAAACAAGGTCCAAGACCACCCTGCAAAGCAAAAGCAGCTCTCAGCTAGGACACCCTGCACAGTACAGATGCCTCCTAGTCATGGGAGAGGGCTCAAGCCTCCTCTGGGCTGCCTTGTCTGCTTGTGGATCCAGATCCTACTACAATAAAAAAAAGGGGGAGAAAAATAATAAAACCCCAAAACCCCAGACCCAGGCTGCAAAGGGAAGGAGGAACAGGGATTATCTCAGAGCTTGGAAAGCAGGACTACACCCCTGACCCAGCAAACACAGACCGGATGTTATTGCTGTGAAAATGAGAATGAAAACAAATGGCCTAAACCTCCAGGCTTCATCCACCCCCTCGCTCCCCTCCCTCTCGCCTGTCTCAGCCAGCTGCGCAGCATGTTTGCTCAACTGGCTGGAAGAACTTTAGCAAGGGTCCTCTGGGATCTCTGGGTCTAAGATCTCCAGTTTCATAGAGAGGATCTGCCTTGATCACCCAAAAAAGCGCAGCCCCTGTTCCAGGGCAACAGGGTGAAAAGACTGAAAACGCATAATGCAAATTTCCTGACCCAGAGCCAGAGAGCTGGGGGGGTGGCTGGCCTGGGACAGCAGTGCTGGATTGCTCAGACGGGTGCTGCTAAGAGCAGTCCCACTGCGGCACTGAGCAGAGATCCAGCAGAGCACTGATGTTCCTGCCAGTTCTCAGCTGCAGACGGCTGGCAGAGAGCAACCTCACACTCAGCAGCATCCTTTGAAGGAAGGGTTCAGCCTGAACCCAGGGGAAGAAATACCAGATGAAAAAGGAAGAAGAGAAGCTGGGAAACCCAGAGAGAAAGTGTGACTGTCCCTCAGCTTTTTAGGAAGGTCTTCCTTTTCTCTGGCTGATTTTGTCACTGTTTATCCATCCAGAAACTTCTCAGTCCTGCATCCTCCCCATAATGTCTGCAAGGAGGGAGCAGGCAGTCCCTTGAAGTGATGTCCAGGAATAACACATTTGGTCCTCTCTTTGGAAACAAATCCCCACCGTGGTGGCTAAGGCAAGAAAAGGGGAACTTCATTAAGGATATATTTCATGTCTATACAAGCAGAATATGCAACATCAGAGGAAGAGGGAGAGATTTGTTACCCTCCAGGCCTCTGTAAAATAAAATGCAGAGGGTCAGACAGAGATCAGCACTCAGATTTGCAGGGAGATACAGAGCTACAGATACTGAAACCTCAAAGCAAGAGAGTTGTGCTCATATACTGCTGATCTCTCCTGGGCAAAGACATATCTTGATTTGTCAGGGAGTGATGGAAAAAAAAAAATAAAAGGCTATGAGGTACAGTCAGTCTGTCCGTGTACTGAGCTGTTTGTCCAGGATTCCCAGGGATCCTGCAGCCTGGGCTGTGCCATCCCAAACGGCTACTTATACACACACATGCCAACTCCCCCTCACAGGAATACGGAGCCTAGTGCTACCAGATGGCTCTTGATTTGCCACAGAGCTGGGAAAAAATAGAAAGACACGTAAAAAGCAGTAGAGTTGGCAGGGACATAACTTCTTCCACGAGAGCAGCAACTCACCCCCTGCATGTCAGAACAGCACATAGTCCTTGAAGAAAGAAATTACCACACTGAGCTTGAGTGCTAGGTAAGGGAACAGGCAGCACCTTTAGTGTGTCCCTAGCTCTCAGAGGCCCCCAGGATTGTACAGAATTAGTGATAAATCCTACACATAAGGGGAAGAAGTTTGAGGGTTCTCACGAAAAGGGACTGAGGATCACTACATCATCTTCAAACATTCAGCACCAGCTCAAACCTCAGAGTGAATCCTGTCCATGTAAAACAGCACCTCCTCAGATACCTTCCACTTGTTTTTTAATTACATCAGATTCCAGGGTAGAATGTCAGTGTGAGAGACCCCTGATGCCAGCTGCCTCTGTGTCTGTCTCAGCACTGAAACTGGAGAAGGGAGAGGGATTTCACCACGCTTTGGGACACATGGCGTCCTTCTGAGAAATGCACTTGTTTTTCTCTGGCAGACAGTATGGATGGCACCGTGCCTTTCCCAGACAGCTGCAGCTAACTCAGGACAGAGAGTGGCCCTTTGGGGTTCCAAAAGCGGGGTTCATTTCCCATCACAGTAACTCAATCTCCACAACTGTAAAATGGAGAAAATTAGAATGATTCCAGAGCTGTGAGACTGAGGATGGATGTCAGCACCTCCTTGCTTCCTCCTCTGCTTCTGTGCAAGGCAGGCTTTCAGACCAGCATCTTCCTCAAGGCCTACAAGGACTGAGGCCACAGGGGATGGGAAAAAAAGATCCAAACAGCGCTGCCACGCTGGTAGCCCCTCAGCTATTTCCTTCTATATTAAATTCCACGAATATTTCATGCTGTGCTAACAGCAGCGCTGAACCACACCAGCTGCCAGTTGAGCTACTCTCAGAGGAGGGCAGCAGAGTCCCCCAGATGCCAGCACATCCCTCCACAAAGAGGTTTTGCTTTTTTTGTGTTAGCTCCCTGAGGTGGCTCCTGAACAGCTCCAGCAAATATCTCTCATTTTTGTCCCCCCAACCTGTGCGGGGATGAGGGTTCAGGCACTGTGACGCTCAAGATCTGTCTCAGCCTGCCTGTCCACTAATTTCTTCTCTCTGGATACCTCCTAAAAGGACAAAATCATGGAGCAGCACCCTTGCATGGACTACCTTGTTTTGAGAGCAGCTCCACACCTGTGCTCTCCCAGCTCATACCCACATTCACTGAGCTCTTTGGTGTTCCAAGACATTATCATGATCCTGAATCACTTAGGGACCCTCTCCCAACCCTGTGATCCTGGCCATAAAAGGGCTTTTTGGGAGCAGCCGCAACCTAGGAGCAAAGTTTCAGGGACCTCATACCCCAAAACAGAGCAGATAACACAGCAAATACACCTCTGAGGGACAAGACTGTCCTGGAGCCTCAGCAAAACCAGGGCACCCCACCTCCTGTCCCAGATGCCACACACGCAGGGGCAGCCACAGCAGTGTCTGAAACAACACCCTGCCTCGGTGCTCATCCAGGACCAGCCTGCAGAAAGGAAGGACAGGTGGGGTGTTTCGGTCCCGGTGAATGCTTCTAGGATGCCTAGAGAGGGCTCCAGGGAGACCTTAGAGCAGCCCCCAGGACTTAAAGGGGCTACAGGAAAGGGGGGAGGGAGTCTTGATCAGGGTGGTAGGGATAGGACGAGGGGTGACGGTTTCAAACTGACAGAGGGAAGATTTAGATGAGATCTAAAGAAGAAAGCTTCCCTGTGAGGGTGGTGAGGCCCTGGCACAGGCTGCCCAGAGAAGCTGTGGCTGCCCCCTCCTGGAAGGGTTCAAGGCCAGGTTGGACGGGGCTTTGGGCAACCTGGTCTAGTGGAAGGTGTCCCTGCCCAGGGCAGTGGGTTGGGACTAGATGATCTTTAAGATCCCTTCCAGCCCAAACTGTTCTATGATTCTATGATTCTCTTTCCCCCTGAGCTGGCAGGTGCTGCTCATGATAGTAGGCGCAAAGCTACATGCTCCCTCAGTCAGTATGATGACTTTGCTGTGGTTGGGCCAGTGAGGCAACCCCGTACTCACCAGCCTCTGGCTGCTGATAAAAGCCCTTATCTAGTTCCACACCTGGAATGTGAGGCTGTTCCAGTGGCCCTTCATGTGCTCGCAGTTCTCCTGCCAGGTCTCTATCTCATGCTGCAGAAGAATCATGCTGCCTTTTTTTCTTTTGCATTGCCCTCCCACCTACCCCAAGCAAATCATCCCTGGCAGGGGTGCTCCGGGGTCAGGGAGCTGCAGCACACCCAGGGATGCAGAGTGTTCATGCAGGAAGGACTCTGGCAAGGCCAAGTGCTCCAGGTCCATCCTTTCCCCCTGCAATTATACCTGTTCTCCTGACACATAGTGTGGAAACCTCCCAGCTGCATGGCTCGATGTGGTAACTTACTCCTACCAGATGTGTGCCCATGTCCTTCTGCATATCATGCGATCCAATACAGAGAATCTTCCACCCTGAGACTAGCAGAAGCCAGGAGATCTCCATGGTTTTGGTGCCAGGTAGAAGAGCAAGGATTGTTCCCTCCATTTTTGTCAAAAAGGAATCAGGACTAAAGGTAATCCAACCACACTACAGCCCACACCAGAATTAAAACCTCAAACGCTGGCACTGAGTCCAATGTTTTAAACTGTCATCTCCCCAGCATCAACAGCAGTTCCCAGGACTGCACCAGAAACCCCACAGTAGACAGATTCCAGGCAGCACCTGCTTCAGAGAACAACACCCTCTCCTGATCTAGGCTCAGCCACACAGAAAGGAAAAACCTACAGTTTGGACAAACTGATCCCCACTGCTGATACTGAACAAGTGTCAAAGACACAGACATATAGACCAGCACAAGAGGAAGTTGGTTATTACAAGAACCAGCTCTTCATTTATTTTCACTGGAGACTCTGCTGCCTGCTTGCTGGAAAGACTTGTAAAAAAATACATGTGGCGACCCCACAGAGCCTCACCGAGGAGCCTGGGTCTCCAGCTGCTCCTACCTGCAGGGATCAGACCAACGCTCCCTCTCCACGGCGTCCCACGGCCGGTTAAATGATGGTCAGGAGGGTCAGAGCACACTTACAAAGTTGTGCCCAGGTGGTGAGACAAAGCCGTGGCTTGGCTTAAGGCTCAGAGCAACTCCTTGTCTCCAGGACACTGAATGTTGTAGCAGCTCGGCAAGAGGTGTTTAGAGGGCAGATGTTATTTCCATGGGCAACAGAGGCAACTTCCCAAAGGAGTGAGCAGAAAGGCTATGGAACAACACGGAGCTGCTCCTCAAGAGCTGTGGGCTCTGAAGTCCTGTGCCTGTGGGCACAGGGTTGCTGCCCAGGAGCCTGCTGACAGTGAGGGCTGCATGCCACAGCAAGACTAACTTGGTAAGAAAGGATCTTGATTCAAAGCCTCATGGAAGGGGAATGTCTTAAAGACTTGACAGGAGAGATTGCAGGTGATGGTCAAGAGTAGGATGGTCACAATTTTGAGGGCCAGCTTGGGAGCTGAAAACGGACTGAGGACCCTGGAGAGACAGAGGCAAGGAGTTCTCTGGCTTAGTGGAGGCTTCAGGACAAAGGCAAGGACCGGTGTTTCTCAGGGTGGCATGCAAAAAAGAGCAGTGACAGCCCCTGAGTGCTACCGGAGAAGCAACTGGAAAGGAAAGTGAACACATGGAAAGTGTCTTAGGGAGCCAGTGGTAGAGCTGAAGTCCCCAGCATCCAAACCACAGCTAGAATTGATGGCAAATGCATCCAGGGGCAGCAGAGATGGTAGAAAGAAACATCTGCTGAGAGCCAGGCAGAGCATTGCCAGGTCCTTCACTGACCTAAGGAACTAGGAGTTTCCCCAGGGAAGAGAGGGTGACACATTTACAGCCTTTGTGGAAAATTCCAGCCCTACTTAATCTCCTGGGGCTCCTGTAAGATTGTGACACAGAGAAAGGGACCAAACAGGAAAGAATTAAGAGGAAAAATGCCTCTCTTCTGGCAGCCACCATAGCTGTGCCAGGAGTTAGCAGCGGCAGCTGCGGAGCAGCCCGCCCTGCCTCCCCCTCCTCCAGCCGCCTCTATAAACACGCAGAGCTTACTCAGATTAGAAGGGAACAGGGCAAAAGACAACAGAGTCTCTTTTGTAATGAGGAAGGATTATGGCATCAAGTGACCGGCTGCAGCTCCCAAGTGGGTTTCAGGCTCCTTAGCACACCGTGTCTGTCAGGTTCAATCCCCCCATGAGCCAAGGAGGCGGGCCGTGGCGTGGGCCACAAAGGACCCAGCGAGGACACGTGCGGGACCAAACCTCCGCAGCCTCCAGCGCAGCTCAGGAGCCCATGACTGTAAGTATCTAGTCCTCTGGAGAGCAGATAGATTCCTTCCAAGATCCATCTTCCTGGCTATCCGTGACCTCCTCTCACTCCATCTGTCCACTCTACCTGCTTGCTCTCCATCCTTGCGATAGCTGCTCGTGTCTGTTTGCCATCGCACGTGGTGGGTAACGCACCTGAAGCAGGCGTGCTGTTGCGGGCTCTTGGTTGTTGTGGATTCCCACGGTGTGATTAGTGTTAGCTCACCTCCGGGTGCAATAGTTAGTCCGGATGGATCAGGCAGGAGGATGCAGACAGAAGCAGGCAGCAGCTCCCTGGGGTGTGGGCTCTGCAGGTGCTGCACGGGGGATGGCTCTTCCTCCCCATACCGACTCTGGTGTGCCAGTGCTGTGGTGAGTCACTTCCCACCACCTACCTCAACCTCAAATGGTCCCTTGAGTGTGTCAGCTGCTGAGTGACATCCCAGGACAATCCCACAGGCAGGCAGGGAAGTGCCTTCGCCATTTAGGGCTGGAGGAAAAAGCACTGGGAAAAGCCCCATATCCTGTGCCTGAGCAGAACTGCATAGAGGTGCATGACATCCATTATTTACATGGACAAGAGCTGAAGTTTTCCATGTTTGGTAAAAAGTGACTCTGTATTTGAATTACGCAACAAAGAGTCTCCCTGAGTGCTTTCAAGACCCAAAGCATAGAGAAAACAGCCAACTTTCTGTAAAATTTATGGGTATTTGCATACATTTCTCATCTGTATAGCCCATGTGTGTGCAGTCTCTAGGGTAGTTAAAACCCACTCTTTTAAGTCCTGTGCACTGGCCAGAAATACATACGGAAACAGCGTGAATGTACGAGGCAGCTGGGGAGCCCTGGGCAGGGCAGGTCCTCCCACATAACCTGTGAGAGGGGACTCGAGGAGAGGTAATGACAGGGAAACCCAAAGGAGGAGCAGCATGGAAAAGCCAAAGCCAGGACAAAGATGCTATTTGCTTGAAGTAGCCAACAAACCAGACTTTGCTGGTTTTCTTCACAGCACCAGCAGACTGGGACCTGAGTTGTCCCCACCTGACTGTAAGTCTTTCACTGAGATGCTTAAATGAGGAGCATGGACACCAATTTACCTGCCTCCAGCTGCTGCTACAGAGCAGTAAGGTCTGAATTGTCCCTTAAAGGGCTTCTTTGTCTCCATCATTCAGGGAAGAGCCCAAGGCCCCATAACTATGAGCATTATTGCCTCTGTTAAGTAGCAATGTCTAATATTTTGGTAACGTGTTAAGATTTAGAAATGCCTATAGTTTCACACCGGATAATTATTTATAAACCAAGGGATCACTCACCTATCTGCCTGGCATGGATTACATGAAATGAATCAGCAACCTAAGGACTTTTGGGCTGGTTTTTGGTCTGGTTTTGTGTTGCTTTTTTTTTTTTTTTTTTTTAAAAAAAATTCAGGTTTATATGAATGTAAGTTGGATTATTAATTGATGATAAAGAATTATTTATCTAGGGTTAGACTAGAAGAAGAGCAATGGGGATGCTGCATGATTGGGAAGCATTTCATGAGCCTGAATGCCTTTCTTCTTCTAGCGTGATTTATTGTGCAATGTATGGTTGAAGGAGAGGGGAGGTGGAGTTACTGGAATTTGTGCTCTGTGAGCCTGGCTAAACTCCATCCCTCAGTTCTCTAACAGGGAGGGCTGTTCTGCCTGCAGGACTAGGACCAGCACAATCCAGATATGGCCCTCAGCCCAAATTTAGACAGCTACACTTGTTGGGCAAGTACTACCAAAACTGTCAAATCTCCAGGGGTACCTTCATCTGGATCAGTACCAAGAAATCTCTCCTTACCAGGGTTACTGCTTTCCTTTGGGTTGTTTTTTTTTACCAGCACTATTCTGGGAAGACACTTCCTAACAAGTAGATTTACAGAAACAACATATTTGAAGGAAATACTATAAAGAAAAAAAAAAAAGAGGGGGAGGCAACTTTGGAGTTTGCGACCCTGAGAATTAATCTTAACTGTTTTCTGGAAGGGAGTGGCATGTGGGCTCTGTCCTCTCCAACCAGCCAGCCCTGCATGAAACCTGACAATCAAACACTAGAAACCAAGGGCTCCACCAAAAAGTATCTATCGTTGTACCAGCTCCCATGCAGCTCAAAGACAGGAAAAAGAGGGCAAGCTCATCAAAGTAATTGCCTACCATCAATTTCCTACTGGTTCTCTATGTCACTGACTTCATTTTACCTGTCTTTTGATCTCAAGTCATTGTTTCTTTCTTTCTCTCATCCTTCCTTCCATCTTGCTTGCTTGCTGGGACACGTGCAGTGTCCCTGTCACCTCCCTCTGTGCAACCTTGCTGGCAGCTTCAACATCTGCTCATTTTGTGTCTCAACGAGGACCTGTGATGACAGTCACATACACCAACCGCGTGGCTGACGCCCGCCTAGGCACCTTCTCACAGCTCCTGCTCCAATGGAAGGGAAGTATCTACAAACTTCTCTACTCCGAGTTCCTGATTTTCATCTCTCTCTACTTCACCATCAGTCTTGTCTACAGGTAAGCACCCTTACACAGCCCCTCACTCTCAGCCTCTCCTGAGCAGGACAACAGAGCAAGGAAGTATTGGGACAGTGGTCGTGGTGAAGAGGAGCTGGCCAGCCACTCCCCAGTCACAGGAGGAAAGGAAAGGTCGTTCCTCGCTGTTCCAGTATGGCTCAACAGCTGACAAATTTCCTTTTTCTGTCCTGGGAAGGAACACAGTTTCTCTTCCCTGGGATGAAGAGTTGTATTTGATGATGACCTACAGAAGAATAGCGTGTAGATCAGTAGAGACCAAGAATGAATCAGTATTGGAGATGTCTCACAGTGGGGAGCTTTAGGAGAGAGTTTCCCTCATTATATACAAGCAATCTACATTTTTGAGAGCAGACATCAGCTCTGGGACCACAGATCTACGATGAGGCAACTATAACCTTGGCTGGTCTGGTTTTGGGGAAAGACAGGGAGCTGCCCTAGCTTGTTCAGTCATGGGAGCAGGGAAGCAGCTCTAAGAACGAGACAGGAACTCACAGAAGAGCAGAGCTTGGAATGATGTTCTGCACATCCAAGCTCTTTGGCAAACCCTTGATACCACACAGCACTCTCCCAAGTGAGAAAAGTAGGGGTGGTCCCTGACATCAGGCTGCACCACTTAGCACATGCTTTGCCAGTGCCCACCTCTGGCCCCTCTGGCCTGGGCAGGAGGGTGTTTGGCAGAGGTGAGTTGGTGTCCCAGGCTCGCCAGGGCTGCTCACATTGTCCCCACGGCATGGCAGTGCTGTGACTACCCTTCCCTTGCCAGACTCCTACCCCAGCAGGCCCAACAAGGCACAGACTCTTCTTTGAGACCAATGCTTCTGTTTGTGCCTTTTAGGCTGATCCTGAGCGAGAGCCAACGGCTGATGTTTGAGAAGCTGGCGCTCTACTGCAACAGCTATGCTGAGCTAATCCCTGTGTCCTTCGTGCTGGGTAAGGAGCTCTGTCTAGCAACACACAGGGAGGGGAAAGGGACAGAATTTCTTCTCCCTGGGTTGGTATAGCTCTGCAGGCAGGCAAGATTCGCTGAGCAGATCCCTCCCTCTGCCTTTGTAAAACTCCTCAAGCAGAATACATTGTTCTGTGTTGCAGCTCAGGTATGCCCCCAGCACTGTCCAGATGTATTGTGGGTTCTGCCAGGGGGGGCAGGCACCAAGTAACACTAAATAAACTGTGAAACTCTTAACTTTAGAATAGAGACCTGAACTGACCTCCAGGCATGCCCGCGCTCACGAGCAGTATCAGACTTTCTACACATGAGTATTTACATCTCCCACTCCTTTAGGACGGCTAATTTGATCAGCTCACCCCTAGGTTTCTACGTGGCTCTGGTGGTGTCTCGCTGGTGGGCTCAGTACGAGAGCATCCCGTGGCCTGACCGGATCATGAACTTGGTTTCCTGCAATGTGGATGGGGAGGACGAGTACGGGCGGCTCCTGCGTCGCACTCTCATGCGCTACAGCAACCTGTGCAGCGTGCTGATCCTGCGCTCAGTCAGCACTGCTGTCTACAAGCGCTTCCCCAGCATGGAGCATGTCGTGAGGGCAGGTCAGTACTGCTACTGCCCTCTGGCACCAAGCAGACAGCACACCGTGCTGCTGTTTTGGGGAAAAAGAGCCTTGGAAAGGGCCACATGACCTCCACATTGGAGATGGGCTAGTGCTGCAGTGTGCTCAGCTGATGTCTGCAGCTGGTGCTAAGCACCTGCTCATGCCCTAACTCTGCTCTTCTGAAAAAGCAACTGTTTGTGCTTCCCCACTGCACAGTATGCTTGTGCCTAATAGTCGCTGGAAGGCTTGTTTGAAGGATGAAGGGTCTCTGCCCAAATTTTTTTACATAAGGAGAGTGTCAAGATCGGGATTGTGAATGTGGATATGCTGCAGGGCCGAGGGCAGCCCTGGCTGATTAGATTAGGGTGACTGTGGTGCAGCAACTTCACTGGGAGCTGCTTGTCCTGCACTGGGAGCGTGCATTGGCAGAGTTCTCTGCAGTAAATGACCCTCGGCACAGATCTACGGCAGAGCACGAGCATCCCCCTGCCAAGTGGTATGCTTGTCCTCCTTCAGGGCAACAGTTTTCCACTAGGCAGGTGGGAACTGGAGCCTCAGACCTCTGACCTTAACTGCTGGGCTCCCTGAATCCTCTCTGAAGATGTTCCTCAAGGTACAACATGTCCCAGACTGCCTAAAGGGATATGTTGCACCTGCCCTAGTCAGCTGGGTTCCCTTTGCAATCATAGAGAAAAACAGGCACTTCCAGTACACAAGTTATCCCATTCTCAACAAATATCTATGTACACCAGTCAACTGCACCCTCAGCAGTACTTCATCTCCCAGCTGACTGTGATCTGGTTGGATATGCTGCAGACATCTAAAGTGAAATGAAATAAAACCTGCCTCTCACACTTCTATAACTCAATGTTTTAACAAGTAGGCTCATCCTCCTCCTATGTGTCTCCTGAAGGCTGAGTGACTGTGTCTTTGATGTGATTTTTAAGGAGATCTAAGATGACCACCTGAGATTTAGATGTTTTCATTTCAGACAAGATCAATTCCTTTCTGCCCTCTGTAGCCATCTCTCTCCCATCTGCTCTTTTCCACCCAGGTCTCATGACACCAGAAGAGCACAAGAAGTTTGAGAGCTTGAATTCCCCCCACAACAAGTTTTGGATCCCATGTGTGTGGTTCTCCAATCTGGCTGTGAAGGCAAGGAATGAGGGGAGGATCCGTGACAGCGTGCTGCTCCAAGGCATCCTGAATGTGAGTGGCAGAGGCAACAGGCAACTGTTTGAGATTCTCAACCAGCCCTCTGGGTGGAAATACAGGGATTTCCAGAGTCAGGTCCGGAGCAGCTCATCCTTCCTGGTATTCACATGCAGGGAAAGTCACACTGTTTCTGTTGCCTGGAGTGAGATTCATCTGCCCAGAGAGATCTCCCTCTGGGCTATTTATCTAGACTCACTGTATAGTCAGGAGAGAGAAATGGATGCTCCTGAGACACTCTGTGCACAATCTGTTGGCTGCTCATTTTGTGAGGAGATAAACTCTGCTATGAAGTCAGCTCAGAAGGGATCTTGGGCTCAGATGGAGATCCCCAAGCAGCAAGGAGTTCCTCCAGGGCAAGCGTGAGACCTTGCTCATGGTCTGCTGGGTGACACTTGGGCACCAAGGGAACAGGAATCCTGGATGAGCCCCCCCCAGTTCCAGAGGAGGTTTGAGCAGGACAGAACAGGCTGGTGCAACAAAGGGCAAGGAGATGCAATGTTATGCTGACAACCTGTTCCTCTTCCCCGCTGCAGGAGCTCAACACCTTGCGCAGCCAGTGCGGGCGACTCTACGGGTACGACTGGATCAGCATCCCCCTGGTCTACACTCAGGTGAGAAGGGATCCCCCACAAGTATTGCTCCACTGCCTGCCTGTGTGCACATTTACACCCATACCTGACCCACACACCAGCCACCGGGACCACTTATACCCACGGACACAGGTCAGCTCTCACATATGTAGCTCAGCAGCACACACCCAGCCCAGCCTGATTTCCCTAACTCTGACACAGCCACTGCTACAGCAACACCTGCTGTCCAGGGGTAGCTAACCACCACCTGTGCCACATAGGTACACGGAAAACATACACAGACCCACTCCCTGCCACCACCTTGCAGGGAGGACGACCCTGAAGCAGTTTCTTCCTATTCAGCAGAGCTGAGATCCACCCACAGCTCTGAGGGAGTTGTGCCACGTGTGCTCAGCTGTTTAATAGCCCTCTCGATGCAAATGCAGCTGCTTCAGCACCAACTTGCTCCTTTGTCTCCTACAATCCAGCTGCTCAGGTAACACTAACACACTACTGTGAAACAGGAACTGCTTCTGCTCATGCAGTGCTGAAGGTTAATGGGGAACACACTGGGAAACTATATTCCTCCACAAACCAGTGCCCTGCACACAAGGAGCAAAAGCAATATCATAGCGTGTCTTTGCCCTCTCTGCAGTACACAACCCTTTTTTTTTTTTTTCTCCTCAGAGGTGCCCATCCACAGTGCAAAGTCTATCATTCCAGGCACTCTCCACCCTGCCCATCATGAAACAGCTTTGTGCTGTTCACTGCAAGGAACTGCAGGGCTAGCTCAAGAGTCTTGTGATGCTGGGTGTTTGTTTTGAACCCCCTTGCCTGTTGCGTCAAGAGACCACGCGAAAGTCTCAGCTGCTTTTAATTTGAAAAGGGGAAGTTTCCAGTTCCGTGATTACAGAGAAAAGCGCAAAGCTCATCGTAGCCTGAAATCTGGGTAAACAAGCAGGGAAATATAAAAAAGGCCCAGTGTGAGGACCAGGAAGGAAGGAGCTAGTTCAGAGCTGGCAGCACTGCCAGGGTTCCCATCCCTGACTTGAAAGCAGCCTGCCAGCATGGACTGAGCTGCGAGGGGCTCAAGACAGCTTTTAGGAGAGGCAAAGACAAGAATGAAAAGAGCTCACAGCATCCCTTACTTCAGAAACAGAACAACCACACAGCCATGTGTCAGTTATTTAAGCTCTTTCCATCCAGGATATCACAAGCATTCTTCTGCCACTATCTTTCTGTGATGCCTACAGAGATTCATTCTATGCTGTCCCTGGAATGACAACAGAGTGTATGGAACAGCTAAAGGGAAAAGGGCATATTTAAAGCTTTCTGCAGTGAAAATACATCTTCCTGCAAAAAGCAGAGGAAAAGCCTGTCCTAACTGAATCCAAGGCTTTCAAAAGGCTACAAAGCCAGCAGCTCACCGCTGTTCAGAGATGTGTGGGGCAGAACTGAAGAGATGCTGGAAAAGCAAGCTGGGAACTCAAGCTCCTCTGGTGTGTCCCCTGGCATCTTTCCCAGGTGGTGACCGTGGCTGTTTACAGCTTCTTCCTGGCCTGTCTGATTGGGCGGCAGTTCCTGGATCCAGAAAAAGCATACCCTGGCCACGAGCTAGATCTCTTCGTGCCTGTCTTTACATTTTTGCAGTTCTTCTTCTACGCTGGCTGGTTAAAGGTAAGTCCAAGAAAATACATCTGGAGCTGGAATTTGACCCAGCCAAGAGTTTTTCCCAGTGTGCGCTCACCAGGGACCCAGCTGTGTTCTTTGGCCTGTGAGCAACATGCCAGGTGCTGGCAGACAAAAGGGGAGCCAACAGGGGCTGAGGATTTGCCAAGACCTTCTCAATTTCCAAGTGTCTCTCCCTGGAGATCAGCTCCCCATTTCCTAAGCTTTGGTCCTGACTAGTTTGGGGAAAAAGGCAGTGGGCCACACTTGACCTGTAGTGGTGGTCCGTAGTTGCAGGAGGGCTATAAGAGCAAGGGGCAGTTAGTTATCCATGTGTATCAATGAAGGGTCTGGAGTGGCTGAGGGAACTGGGGGCGTTTAGTCTGGAGAAGAGGAGGCTGAGGGGAGACCTCATGGCCCTCTACAGCTACATGAAAAGAGGGTGCAGAGAGGGGGGATGAGTCTCTTGAACCAAGGAACAAGCGCCAGGACAAGAGGGAATGGCCTCAAGCTGCCCAGGGCAGGGTCAGGCTGGCTCTGAGGAAGGATTTCTTTGCAGAAGGGGCTGTTGGGCGTTGGAATGGGCTGCCCAGGGCAGGGGGGGAGTCCCCATCCCTGGAGGGGTTGAAGAGTCGGGCTGACCCAACGCTGAGGGATCTGGTGGAGTTGGGAATGGTCAGTGTGAGGTTCATGGTTGGACTGGAGGATCTTCAAGGTCTTCTCCAACCTTGACGATTCTGTAAATGTCTCCCAGCCACTGGCAAGTTTCCATTTTTAACCCACCACTTTTTTGGAAGGAACAGCCTTGCCTGGAATTCAAGGGACACCACACTTGACTCTGCCCAAACGGCCTTCTCCCCACAGGGAAAGGGGCAGGTATGACCGTGATGACCTGTGCTATGCGCTTTCCACATGCAGGTGGCTGAGCAACTCATCAACCCTTTTGGGGAGGATGATGATGACTTTGAAACCAACTGGCTCATCGACAGGAACCTGCAGGTAAAGTGAAAGCAGGATCCTCCAGATGAGCCCAAGGAACAGAGGAACAGAGGCAGGACTGCACCTGAGGGTTTAACAAGCCCCATCAGTGCAGTCACCAAGTTCTCCTGCAACACCTCTGCTGCTCACCTCCCACGCCTGCAGCGGAGCATCCCCGTTACCCTTCTGCTTTCCTCCACAGCAGCCAAGGAGACATCCCAGGCTTCTGGAAGGATGAAGGGCAAGATCTTTGCCAGAAAGACCCTCCCCCCACACACACACCAGGGAAGACAGGGCTTTTGGCTTATCTTTGTACACAGAGACTGACTGCAGCTTTAGTCTGTGCTCTGGCACATAGGATGGATCCAGACTGCTCATTTCACACCCTCGCTACCTTTGAACAGCACATTATTCCTGCCTCTCCCCAGCTATTCCACCCTGTGTCTGTATCTAAAACTGCCACCTCTGTTTTCTTCCACACAGTTACTCTCCACCTTCAGCCTTTACGTCCTAGTGAGCATATTGCTTTCCGGTCTCCTTTAGCATTATTTTCCTTCCAATTAATCAAATCTTTTCATGTGAAAAACAATCCAGGTGACAGGAAACCACATAGCAAACTTGCCTCACTTCCATGCTACATTGCTGCCTCCTGCCCCGCATTCCTTTGTCCACTGAAAACAGGCCCACGTGACACTGCTCACTCCATGTGACATTCCTGCTGTCCCCTCCAGGTCTCCCTTATGGCAGTGGATGAGATGCATCAGGATTTACCCATTCTGGAGAAGGACCTTTACTGGAATGAACCTGACCCCCAGCCACCCTACACCGCAGCCACCGCCGAGTACAAGCGCCCGTCATTCCTTGGCTCGACTTTTGATATCAGGTGAGTGCAGCCACAGGGGGTCAGAACAGTCCACGTTTACACCTTGGATCAGGTCTCATGTGGGATAGACTTGAGTAAGAGCAAGCAGGAATACCTTTCTCCATAATCTGTGAAATCTTGCTCTAAAATACTTTTAGGCTCATCCAAAGACAATCAATAGCCAACATCCTCCACAGAGAAAGACGACTCTGATCTCTGTCCCCCTTCCCCTTTACTATGAGCAGCCCTGTTGTGGTGGGCCTAACACACCTCTAATGGCAGTAGAGGAAAAGGCTTGCCCCTGGCAGCAGCATTCCCTCAGCTGCCAGCCTCTCCACCAGAAACCACCTTTTTTGCTTCTTAGACCCCTTTTGCCTTTCCTCAGCATGCAGAAAGAAGAGATGGAGTTCCAGCCCCTGGAGCAAATTAAAGAGAACGAGGAGGCCAACCACTCCACACCGTTACTGGGTCACCTAGGCCGCCTCCTCGGCGTCCAGTCACCAAACTTTTCCAGGTCCTCTTCCCGGATGAACCTGCTGCGCAGGCGAGGAGACCCCACATCTCCCTTCTCCCATTACATGTACCAAGACATGGGCAAGTCCGGAAGCCCTTGCAGCATCAACCAGCCAAGAGGAGACTCCAGCTCACAGGAACAATGGGACAATGAAGATGGAAAACTAAGGGAGTTTGATGCCTTCATGTCAACCCCATTTTATGAGAGACCTGGTTTCTACAGTGCTCCACAGACACCCATCAGCTCTATCCCCATGATTTTCCCCTCTAGACGCCAAGGCCGCAAGAAGCCTCCTGCACTCTCCAGCATCGCCGCGTGCTCGACTTCTCTTCGGGATGTCATTGTCAACTCCTCACCTTCCAAAGTCAGTGATACATATAAGAGCCAGAGCTCCCTTGGCTCAGGTGCAAAGGAAACATTTATTTGGCCAACAGATCGGGGCAAAGGTCCTGATGCACTCGTAACTGTAGAAGAAAAGAGCAACTCTAATAGTAAAAGCAGAGAAGCTGTCGCCACAGGAAGTCCAGGAACTCAGTCAGCAGCATCAGACAGCCCTAAATTTCCCTTGTTAGCAGAATCCCCAGACCACGAGGCACAGGGTAGCTTCAAGAATCTGAAGAGCTTAAAAGCTTCCCACCCACCCTGGCTAACCCTGGAGAACACAGCATCAGCCACTCCCAATTCTGAGAATTCAAGTGCCTTTCACACCCCCAGTAACAAAACCCCTGGAGGCAGTGCCTCCCTCTGCTTCTCCTTCACTCCTGTAACATCTCCAGTGCTGGAGAGATCCCACCTGGGGAACGTGGGCCCAGACACTCGCAGCCTAAGTTTAGAAGATGCAGCCAGCGCTCCGGACCAGCAACCAGCAGAGGTTTCCAGGAACATGAGAGATACTGGAAATGGAAGCACTGCTACTCCCCCTACAAAAGAGCCAAGAAGAGCAGAGAGTCCATCCCCCAATGACTCTGGCATCTCTCTAGCTGAAGGTGACTATGTGGGGCTAATGGAGGTGATCACAGAGAGCAGCGAAAGCACTTGTGAAGAGCAGATAGATCAGTACAGCTAGAGACTGAGGGGCACACGCAGTTCTGTGGCGCTACCTGCTGTATTAGTGATATCGTGGTATCTTTACACCTGGCCACACCGGCACTCGCCCAGAGACAGGCAGGGCAGCCAAACCACCTACTGCTGGAACACACAGCTAGAGCCCAGCCTAGGCTAAAACCAGAACTAAGGACACACTGCTACTGGCCTCGGGTACAGCAGCAGGCACAACTTCAGTGTTACAATAACAAAATAAACCAAGCCCCTCTCCATTTCTAGCAAAAGAACAACTAAGGCTTTGAGGGTTAAGCAGTAGCTCAGTAGGTACCAGCCTGGAGCACAGGTACAGCCCAAACCCAAGGAGAACTAGTTAATAAAAGGATTCCTGCCCCCTCCTCATCACAGCAAGAAACAGAACTTGGGCTTTATGTTAACATTTGTCACAAGACTCATGACAAGTCTCAGGCAGGACTTGGCACTACTGACAAGATACTGCAGGGAAACTAAGGGACAGAAGGAAGTCTCATCATTTCTGATGCAGACCCACAGTGCTTCTCAAAGTCACACCCAGCTCATGTTTTCCAGCACTGGAAAAGGAATGGGGTAAGGCAGGGCAAGTGCCTACACCAGTACAGAATGCTGCAGCCAGTGGTCTCTGCCCAGCACATTGCTTCCTTGTGAAATTCCACAGCACATCTGCCACTGGTTTGTGGCAGTGCTCAGAGAAGTCATCTGGATGACAGCAGACACCACACAGCTCTGAGTTTTTACTGTCTTCCCTAAGAAAATAAAAGCAAGGCTGAAGGCCTCCGTTTCATTTCCTCATTTGTTTCCATGCAACAGGAATTTAGAGAAACTGTTTTCCTACTTCTGCCTTCAAAAACAGCTGCAAATCTCATATGACAGGGGACACATGACAAATTTACCTCCCACACCCCTTCTGATGCCTTCACAACAGCTGCCTCCCTCTCCACCTACCCAGTACCACTCCTAGACTTGGGCAGAAGTCACCCACACCCGCTACAACTCCCAGTTCTGGTCCTTGAGACAAGTTCCTGCAGCACTGCTGTTTCAGTCCAGCCTGATTTCTCTCCATGCACAAGTGTAGTGCTATTTGTTAGATAAGGATGATGTTTAGCAAGGCATGAACCCCCCCACTTCAAGAGCCTCATCTAAATTCACAGGGACCACTTCAGGAAGCCCAGACACTCAAGTCTTCCTTTCCTTACATGTTCCTGACAACACCTTCAGTGTCAAAGGCATTTAAAACACAACTTTAGTCAGCAAGCAATTCCTGCAGTAGATGCCACTGAACTGGAAAAAAAAATATTGTAAAAACACCCAAGTAGAACCTGATCCCTCTAGTATATTCCTTCATCCAACTTAAGATGACTGTCACAACAGAGACTATGGACCGCAATCCTGCAAGCACAGGCCTCTCGCTCCTGAGAGAAACAATAAAAAGCCAACTTGAACTAAGTCACTTTATTGGATGGAGGGCAATACACAAAAAACACAAGAGAAAAGAAGGGTGATATTTGGTACAGAGTGAGAACTGTTTATCTAGATAGCTGAAGATGCATGCATGGCTGGACAGTAAAGTAGAAGTCCCACTGAAGCCCCCAGGGTGGCTCTCGGCAAGACTTCAGCTCTCATTGTCACTGTCCCCTAGGGTGTGCTTGTCAAAGAGGTACTCTGCCATGCCATATTTTGGTGCCCCCATCTTCCGCAGGTTGGTCACATGGTCACCCAGCTCTTTGATGGACTTCACCTGTTCATCCAGGTAGTGAGTCTCAATGAAGTCACACAACTGAAAGGGAGACAAAAGAGTTTAAATTTAAGCCTGGATATCCTACCAATCCTCTCTAAGGAAAGGATAAGGTACAGAGTGACAAATTCTAAAGCTGCAGAAGATACCCAAGAGGAAGAAGCCTTTAGTTTTGCCTCAGCAATGCCAGAACAAGAGCCAAATGAGGCAGGCTTATCTAGGCACACTCGCTCCAGAACTCCACAGTACAATGTCAGCTCAAAGTCCCCTCTCTTCCTCACTGCAAGCAGCATCAGGCAAGTTTCTGAACATATTCAGAAGCCCCCACTGCATAGTACTTGAATTCTGACAGTGAGGATTTCACCTCTAGAACAGTCCAGCTATGTTCTGAGGAAGTCCCTCTAATTTACACAAGACACTTCCCAGTCTACTTTGATTCAGACACATGCTAATCTCTTCCTGGTACTAAGAGGCTTCAATCCAGCCTTGCCAATAACTTCCATCTGTCCAGAAACCTGTATTTTCAGACACTGTATTCCAAAGTGTCAGGGCTTTTAATATTCAGAAGCAACTCCAAAAAGATTATATGACAAAGGCCTTGCAGGCATCCACTGGCTTAAAGTCAGAACTCATCCCTCACAGCAACAAGCCTTCTCCATAGAGCTCAGCACTTTCCTTCTTCCTGAAAGAAGGATATCATTCACATGAGTGCTCTCTGTTCCCAAGGGCAACAGAAGGGTTTGAACAAAGTGATGCACCCACTGTTCTGGCCTCAGCCACCCCAACACTCTGCCACTGATCCGGGAAAAAGATGGCAATAACTCTACCAAAGGGCTAAGGTACAGGCTGACACCCGGGCCGGTCCCTCTGGAAAACCTGCACCACTAGTTCACACCCTTTTTTCACCTTGAGGAACAGCAGGGACACACAACTGGCCCCCAAACGCACACAATTAGACACACACAAGCACCCTCATTGCAGAGCGACATTCTCAGCTTCAGCATCCACTTACGTGTGGGTCATTCTTTTCAGTTGCCAATTTGTGCAGTTCTAACAGTGACTGGTTCACATTCTTCTCCAGGTGGAGGGCACACTCCATTGCAGTCAGGCCATTCTCCCAGTCATCACGATCTGGCTTCTAGAAGGGGAAAGAAAGCACATGATCATGTTTTCTGTAAGCACCCGCAGACCATCAGGGAGCAAAGTCTTTAAGATCAGTCTCAAAGCCTGATTAGATCAAGTTCAGGCATTTCGGTATCTTCAAAAGCTTGGCACATGCAGAGCACACTCTGAAGAGAACTGAGCACGTGCTCCCAAGTCCCAGACCTGTCCCCATTCCCCAGGTTCTCCTCATGTTATGTTCTCTGAGCTCTTGTAGGCAAGACAGCTACTAAAGCTACTTTCTTCCCCCTCCTGATATAACCTACAGCTCAAACATCTGTCTATAAGCAGGCAACGAGCATCCTCTCATAAATGAAGCAGTTATGACACTGGTCCAGGCAAGTGCAGTCTTCAGCTCCAACTGTCTAGTCTTGAGCCTGGTGTTTACAGGTACTCAGACTTTCTGGTAAGCCAGGGAATTCTCCTCAAGTACTCATTGTTTTCTCCCATGAAAAGGCATCTTGCATTAAACTGGCCCTACAACATTGCTTACTTTCTGCTGTTCCAAATAATGTTAATTTAAGTGATTTCAGGAAAACGGTGCTATGAAATCTTGCAGTGAGCCATAACAAGCAATTGGGAACTTGAGACTTCACATTCCCATGGCAAGTGAGTTCTCTACAAAAGAGCATAGAGAACACCCTTGACATTAAATTTAAGGTAGATGAATCAGTTGTATTCTAGATACTGCAGCAAACCACCCAGGGCTAGGCATCCTCCTCTTACACAGGAAATACTTTTTATTAGTCAAATTACTACATGTCTAGATTTTTGGGCTGAGTGCCACACACGGATTGCAGCCATGGGGTATATGCCTACGTACTGTCAGCTGCTGCTCCTTCCAGGTGAGGACCCAGAGGGAAATTCATCCCCTTCCAGTCTGGAGACAGACCCCAAGTCTAGTGCTGCATGAGACAGGGCAACCCACAGCTCCACTCCTCACCTTGATGTCCTGCAAGAAGATGCGTCCACCTCTCTGATTCTGTAGTTTCATCAGTTTCTCAGCATGCTCACGTTCCTCATGGGACTGATGCAGGAAATACTTGGCAAAGTTTTTCAGAGCCACATCATCCCGGTCAAAATAGTAGGACTGAAAAATAAGAATTCATATGCTCAAAACCCCAAGCCCCTCACTCCAGCCACTGCACAAAGCCAAGTCCATACCGTGACTTCAGATGTGTCTCTGATGACCCCTACTTCAAGATGGCTGGAGTCCAAGCTCAGGCTACAGCAAGGCAATATGGCAAAAGTCGTCCCTTAGTGAGATTTTCCCAACCAGGATTAAATTTTAACCTCTGTCCCTACCATGAACACTAGGGACACAAATAAATGGTATCTATGATTCAGTTCTGAAGATACAAAACAAACCCCAAAAAGTTACTTATTTTTCTGAGCACCATTCAAACGCCTTAAAAAGCCTTCTTTGAGGAGGAGAAACCTTCCCTGCTCCCTTTGTTTGCTCGAGTTTGTTTACAATGATCAAGTCAAAGTTCTGACTTACAACACCACTTGAGGATGGCCAAGAACTCTAAGGCACTTCTGCAATAAAGATGCAGTGCTTCCTCAGGCTTATCAGGGATTAGATTAAGTAGTACACTTTCTACTCTGGTGGTGGGGGAAGTTAGTATCACATTAAAAAGACAAAAGCTTAATACATATTCAACAGCAAACACAAGGTCATCTTTTTTGAAAGCTGAAAAAACTGTAATAGTAGTTAGAAGCCACCACACAGCTTGTTTGTTCTTTGGTCAGAGCCATTAGGCAGGATTCAAAGGAAAGCTTTGTATCCACTGTCAGTTATTTACCAGAAAAACTACTACAAAATTCTCGGCTCTTAAACCAGTAGCTTGGAGGTTCAAGACAAGACACTGGCGCTTGTGTGCCACTATCATCCACCAACATAATTACATTCAACTCGTGGCTGAGGTTCAGACAGTCACAGTAATGCAGAAGCAAGCTGTAAAGTTCCACACCTACATGCCACAACATACTACAGTGTCACCAGAAAGTCTCAAGTTACCTGCACATCTAAAGGACCACGACTGCTGCACAAAGGTCAGAGCTGCTGTTTGGACCCAAGTTATTTATCTCAGCTATGGCTAAAAAGTGAGTCTCATGCTAAGGGAGACACCCAAGCACAGTGCCAAGGAAACTACGGATTCCTACCGATTCACTTCAAAAACCTTGCCTCACAGACAAAAAAGCCTGTGGGAAAGGTGCCAATCGCTTCGTTAGCCAACTCCTGCTATCCTGCCCAGCCCCAAGGGCAGAGCCGCTTGGAAGCTGCTGAGCTGTGCTGATAACAAGTCCGCCAAGGGCAACGGACGCAAGCGGTAACTGAAGTTCGCCAACGAGATAAAGGCCTCACCTACAGAAAACAAGCGGCCGCCCCACCCCCTGGGGAAGGCCGAGAACGCCTCAAAGGAGGAGGGAGGGGGGGGAAGGAAGAGGAGGAGGGGCGCGGCTGCGCCCACAGGCACCGCCCGGCACTCGGAAAGCCCCGCAAGCCGGTCAGGTAGTTAGGGCATCGTGTGCCGAGACAGGGACTGGTCCCCTGTGCAGAGCCCGGGCAGCGCCGGCACACTCCCCACTCGGTGGGGAGCACACTCGGGACAGGCAGCCCCGTCTACGCCTTCAGTCCTTGCAAGATCCTTCGCTCGTACCGCTACCCCACGCCCCCCTACCTTCCCTTCCCCTTCTTCCGGAAGGCCTCACACAGAAGGTGGGACGCTTCTTCCCCTTCCCCGGCAGGGCCCAAACCCTCTCAGGGGAAAAGCCTCAGCGGGTGGGCCCGCCTCCTCCCCGAGTCTGGTCTAACCTCCCTGCCCCTACCTGAACGCAAGCGTTCCCGGGTAGGCCTGAAGCGCGCCCTCCCGCCTTTACCCCCC